TTCGGAGTGAACGGTGGGTTTCAGTTCTTTTATGTAATTCAGTCAGAAGTATTGTATTATTTTTGTGCTCAAACCTACAGCCTCTCAAATTCAGGCTGGAAATTTGTCACTGTCATGCCTTCGTAACCAAATATTGGTTACAAAACCATGCCCACAGTATAACGTTAAATAGCAATACATCGGACATAGTGATGGCTATTCACCGTGGTTTGCACAATGGAATATCTAACAAATAAATCGAATCTAAAGCTATACTTAACCCTGTTCTATCTTCTATATTGTTGAATTATGCCATCAAGTTAGTGATTTGATAATAATAATAGTTAATACGTTATTAATTAATAAGTAAGTGAGTAAATTGATTAGAAATACTTGATAGATAAGTAAAAAGATAAATTTATAAATAAAAAATAAGGAATACGTAATCAATAAATAAATTAGTATATGGTATAGTGAAAGCAAATAGAGAGATATGGAAATAACTAAAATATCAATAGATATTTGAACGAAAGATTTTGTAGGTTAGTGTTGTGTCCTCTATGAGTTACCACTTACGCGTCAGAAATTATGGAACAATAACAGGACTAAGTTTCTTTAGTTAAATAAATAAGTTTCTATTTTATAAAACTGATTTTAGAAAATAACATAAAAACTATCAACATTTTTTATAAAAGTAATTAAAACATACATGGAAACTATGAAAAGTATGATGTGTGAACGATATGCAATTAAAATAGATACGAGGCGTGTTACACTATTTTAAAGTAATGTTTGATGTGTGATTATGTGGATTAGAACTTTAAGAGCAGCAACAAAAAAAGTAAAGTTAAGGTTTAATCCGTAGGCTTATTGTCTTCCGAGTTTAACAAATATAACAGTCCTTACATAAACCCAAGAGAATTAATTAATAGTATGGATCACATATTCTAACAAAAGAACCTTTTTTACCATATAAAAATAACTGTTTCGTTATGAATAATTAAAGTTTTCACTTCTATTCTACACGTTTCCAATCTGGTTCGCAATCAGCACGGCTCTTCTTAGTGTTTGTATTATTTGAAGTAGTCCAAGTCATTAAGTTCGTTTGTGAAAAAGATTTGTGTTATAGTTTCTATTGATGAGTACTAGTTAGCTCTTCTATGAAGATATAGTATAACTTCTTTATTTTGAACCGGTTGGTAATATTCTTACTTCTATCCCATTATACAACAGTATATATCGAAATTACACTCTTAGTTTTAAGCTTGTTCCTTTATAGTCTCCGTAATATCATTCCTAATCTACATTACTTTCTATACATTTCCGTTGGTTTTGGAATTTTAGAACTTTAATATGTTGAATGTAAGTCAACTAGTGTCTCCTGTAATTTATGTTTTCTTAACTACTAAAATGGGATGGTGACCATTGGGCTTATATGGCACCAATTTTTTCAAAATCCATTGTTAATTATGGATTACAGTGTATCCTGTAATTTATGTTTCCTTAACTACTGAAATGGGATGGTGAGTTTATATCCCAATGGGCTTATATGGGACCAATTTTTTCAAAATCCATTGGTAATTAAGAAGTTTTATAGGAAGGTTTCTAAAGCTTTCCACCTCCTGTATAGCAAAATATATATTTGATCAAAATAAATTTTTAACTTCAGGCAACATATTATTATTTGTATGATCATTTAAATTTAACTATCACCTTTGATAGTTGATGAGAACTTTACTTAAATGAGACGCATTTTCTCAGTTTTAGTCGTGCATAAATCATATTAAGAGTTTCCAGTGAAGATATTTCGACCGTTACCAGTAAAAGGTGTGAAATTGCTGCTCCTTTTCTTTGTTTGCATAAATAAAAGTCAAAAAAAAAATTTTTTTTTAAATAAATAAAAAATTTCACGAAACCAACTTTAATGCTGAGATTTTCCATGAATACAGGTAACGTGTACACACCTTGTTCTAAACATGCCAAGGTGAACCGTTTCGCATCATAAGAAATTCATAAACTGAGCCAATGTACGCAAGTGAAATATAAACTTTTAATTACGAACAGTTGCCGTTGCCGTTGCTATTGCCGCCAGCAGCATTCAGAGCAGAGCGGTAATACTCACACGGCAGATTTAGGGTCTTGCGCCAATACCTACAACTTATCGCCTATTTATCTGCCGGTTTCGTTACATAAGTATAGTAACATCAGTGAACATCAGAATGTAACAAACAAGCCACAAAACCGCCTCAAGACCGCCGCAAGACTAATCGCGTTGACATTTTGATGTCTCGGAATGATTATCGAATTGCAGTTAATTATGCTTCATTGCCGGTTCGCTGGTTGTTAAAGTATTTTGCCGACCTTCAAAGCACTTAGCCAACAAAGCACCACCGCTGATATGCCTCGCAGGCATTTTTGATGAATTAGCAAACGCATTTGCTTAATTGCATTACAAAACAAAAAAAAAAACAAAGTAGAAATTATATTCATAATAAAATTAAGTTTAAAACTAAAAACAAAGACTTTTATTTCATATTAAATATTTATATTTAATTAGCACTTATAATAAATTCGTTGCAGTTTTTGCTGGCGTTTTGATGGCGTTAATTAGCATTCGTGGTACGTGAGACACGAAATTCACGTAATTTAAGACGCCAATTTCAGTTATGCTTTTCACTCGGACTTGGACTCGTACTCGGACCCTTTCGGTCTCATAATTACAATCCATGAAAAATTGTTAGTAACGCTTTAAGCTTTTGATTGAGTGTCAGCAGACCTAAAAAGCATAATAATATATATACACACTTATAATAATAAAAACATCACCAACTTCAGCAACAACGAGATATCTGCGTTAAAGGTTGAGGCAAAGGTAAGGCAGAAATATTTCGTTGTGATTCTTTACTATGAGATACAGGCAGATAGAAAGTCAAGCAGACAGGCAAACAGGCAAACAGGCAGACAGACATCATCAAGTGCAATGAGAATTATTACACAAAAATGCAAGCCAACGAATGCACTTTAAGAGGCTGTGTTTGCGCATATTTGTTCACGGCGTGTATTTATTCATATGTGCAAATTTTTAATTTTCACATAATGTGTTTTAAGGAAAGGAAAAATATGAAAATCCATAAGAAAAGAAAGGTTTCTATAGTCAGTTATCATGACTTCAAAAATAAAAATATTATGGAAGTCGATACAGTTAAATTTTTTAAAAATTAAAAGGATTGTTGCATCTTATTTCGGTATTGCTAAATTTAAATATTTAAAAAATTTAAAATAATTATTAAAGAGAAGAAGCAGTAGAACTAGTCAGAATATTATACACAATAAAGTTTTTTTTTTATTTTTAATTTCTTAGGACATAGGACGGTAAAAGCCTTATTAGACATATTTTATTGATGGATGTTGTTTTGCAAAAAGTCAACAGTTTTTGGATTGTTCGCATAAACACTTATCTCTGGATAATACCACAAATTGGAACTGGGAAATTTCTCGCACAACAGTCAGAAAACAGGACAAATGGTGTGTTTCCACATTTAAATCCATAATTCTTGAAATTGGTAGTATTGTCGCTGGATCGATCAGTTATCACAGTTCGTGGTGTGTGTCATAACTTCGTTAATTAAAAAAAAAAATGGTTGCTTATCACACCTGCAGATTAAAAACCATTTTATACAAAAAGTTTTTGTGGATGTTCTGGTCTTTTAACAGTTACTTGTGGATTTATACTGTGTCAGATGTAAACATTTTATTATTTGATATATATACTAAGTTAAAGACGCGCCACATTACTGAAAAAAAGTTCAATTCTCATATCAATCATTTTTGTAGTAAATTTTTACAATTTTAAACCATATTACAAAATGACAAAACTTAAACTAAACGTAACATACCTTGGATATCAGTTCTGTTTGATATCTGTTATTACAACTTTGCGACCCAAGTAGGATAACGAAATGAATAACCCTATATTTTTATTTAGTAAAATCTACAGTAAGAAGACTATCACCACTGACCTGAAGAAGATTAAGGCTCTATTGAATTTATTATGAACTGCATGTCTTTTATCTGTACTACACGAAGTTAAAATAGGAGCTCGTAACTCCGTTGTAATAAAAACTTCTGAACGAAAGACGAACTCTCATACGAATGGCTAAATATATTTTATTCGTTTAAGATTAAAATGGAAAATAAATGGAGTACTGACTCCTAAAGAAAGTACTGGCACTGCCAACATTTTTGGTTTTTTGTATTGCTTACCAAATCTAACTGAACAGAAAACATTCTGCCTTTTAAAGCGAAGCTAACAGTTATTGAGGGCACCCTAACTTCGGATGCGGATGGCAATCTTATTCTAGCCCAAGCCAAAGCAGGACAGTCACAGATTATGACTACAGATCTGATCCGCCTCCAAGCAGAGACATTTCAACTTCTCAGACATATCCATCTTGTTAAGATGACATTGCATGCCA